AATATGCAATGCAACCCAACCAATAATCTAACTTTAATGAAAATAATCTATCTTTAAAATCTCTTTTTAGACTCCCAATTCCCTTTTACATATAACACAAGTATACGTATACAGGGCTCTAAGATATCAATTCCACAGGGAAGTTGGAAATATATATAAATTAGCTATTTATATTCTATTCTTAAATTAAAATAAAAATAAAAACAAAGTAAAGTACGAAGTTTGAAGTTAAACTACTTAGGTGAAATACTGCTAAATATGCAGATGTACGACTACAACAGTTAAGTTAAACTAGATGCTAAACTTTCGAAAGTAAAATTGTTGAAATAAAACAAATATTTTTATTGATGAAAAGTGGAAGTATGAGAAAACACCCTTTCCCTTTACAATGAAAATATGGCTTGTGAAGAAATTGAAATCATTTGAAAAATATATTTAAAATCTCTTTTGTGTCAAATAGGAGTAATCTTATTCTCTACCCTCTTCCGAGCGCTATAAAAAACATTGACTAATCCAGAGTTTGGTCCCTAATTCTGTGGTTAGGCTGTGATGATACTCGCTGTCTCTGCAGAGCTCCCATTACTCTCTCACCTGAGGGCTAACATGCTCGCATTAGGTTCCAATCAAGTGAACCAAATTGGAGATTCTAATCTGTCACCTTAAAATCTTCCAATTCTACATTCAACGAAGTATATTTCCCTATTGATTTGCATCCAATCCCATGGATGACATACTCTCTCATGAAATCAAATGTGATTCTCCCTTTGTTGTAGAAATCATATCATTTTTTTAGAACATATGTTTCTCAACACATTTTAACTATTCAATTGGCCAGATCGAAAAGTAAATGAAGATCGGAGTTCAAATCATCACAAATTATTGACATTTAAAACCGTAACAAACAAAATCAATTCTTCAAAAAACTATTTCTTTAAAGTAGGGAGAAGAATAAATAAAACTACTTAGAATTCATGAGAAAGATACGATAAAACACGGACTTCATATATAAAAATAAATTTACAAACAAAAGAAATGAAAAATACAACTTATCTCACAATCTTTCCCAAGAAAATCCCTAGAAATTCTCTCCAAGCATTTCTCTCTTTACAAGCACTCTCAATTCTTTCTTAGAAGTGTAATGAAGAAGAAATTTCTCACCTTCTCTGGCCTCTTACAAACCTAGAAGAAAAAATCTCCAAGCCCTTGACTTTCTAGCCCTTGACTTTCTCTCTCTATCTCTATCTCTTTGTTCTCACGCCACCTCCCTTTTTTCGTCTTTTTCTTTTTTGGCCCCCTAGAAATTCTTCTCCAACTCTATTTTATTTTGGGCAGCCTCCTCTGAAAAGAGTTTCAATTTCCCTCGAAAATTCAAAAGTCAAACATTTGAATTTAAAAGATGTGCCTCTTTGATCCAAGCGTCAAATCCCTTCAAATTAGAACCTTCCAAAATGTCTAGATGCATTGAATCACTCCATGGGGTTTTTAGAACAAATGTCCATTTGAAAATTTGCATAAAATTTGTCTCGAATCGCCTTAATTTGAAAAATTCGAACCTGACGCATCATGCGCCAACACACTTGATTTTGGCGCATCATGCGCCAAACCCCAAAACTGACTGTTTTTGCTCCAGTTGTTTTTGCACTAAATTTTGCTTCTTTTGTCATTTTTGCTCCAAATGTCTCAAAATGGTACACCTGCAACAAAAACACAAAAGTATCTTTCTTTAAAGTGCAATATCACCAAAAATAAACATAAAAAGGGTACTTAAAACAGTATATTTTTTTTTGTGTATCATGACTCCCTGTTGGAAGGTCAAGAAGTTATGAAAGGAACTAAAATGGGGATCTATCGGATTGAGTTGGAATCCTATCAAGCATACCATGGATATTTCAAAGGAATTGTGGAATGAGAAGTTAGAGGTAATAATTGTATGCCTCTGAACTCTTCAGTTAATTATCATTTATATTTCTATTTTGTCTAACATGCTCCCTTCCCCACCCTCTCCCCCCTCCGCCTCCAGGTCGCAGGCAGTACCAACTGCAAAAAAAATTAACGTGTGTGGATTGACCCGGACTTGGAAGATAAATTGAACGTAAAGTTCAAGTGGGGTTGTCGTCACGAGTCAGTATGCGTTCAACCCCCTTTGATGTTTCTACAAAAGATGTGTCTATGTTTAAACGTTGGGGAAAAGCCTCTGTGGCCAAATCTATAATTTTTAATTTTCATCATTTCATGGATTGGAAATGGGGTAGATTTATTTGGTGCAGGGAGTTATCCCCTTCAATTTTTTTAAATTTATTTTACCATATTTAACTTATTCTCTGTTTATTTCCTGAGTGTGACTGTGTGAGTGGTCTAGCATGTGTGCTGGCTGCTTATTATTAGAAACTAGTTTGTGGTATGATCAAAGTTGAAGTGAATTCGATAGTCTCTAACTTATTCTCAAGGTATTCGATACTCAAAGCTTTTGTGTTTCCTTCTTATTGATAATTCATTTGACAACTAGTTTTTGTATGAATAAGTTAGAAATGACTATAAGAGACCGAAACAACTTACACATAGTTTGATATCCTGGAGTTTTTACTATTTCATATATATATATTTGGCCATTCTTCTCCTTTTTCCTTCGCAACAGCTTGATTTGCAATCCTCACTAGATTGCTTCTATGCTGACCATTCCTAACTCTTTCTATAAATATATTATTGTTTTCCCTCTTAGAGGGCAATCATTTTATGGTGCTTCGCAGATTTGACCTCACTATAATGATGGTTAAGCAGCTTGGATAGCCCATATCTTTTAAGGGCAACCACTGCTTTAATGAGCCACATGTGGGGAAATAGTTGGATATGGTACCCGTTAGGGAAAATGCTGTCTAACTGTCAGGAAGATACTCAGAATGTGGGATAATATTTATTAAGTGTTATTATGAAAGTTACTCAATCTGTTTGTACTTGCAAATTACGGTGGAGAATGATGATTGTTTATGATATTCTGTGAAGGATGAATAAATATGTTGTGTTGTTGAATGATGTGCATATCTTTTATGGATATTGTCATTTAAATATTTTATGGGAGTAATGTTCTGGATTTGATCATGCTTTAAGTTCTATTTTCTTGTTCTCAGCCAATGCTGAAAACAATTGTTCAGTTGTGTTATTTGGATAAGCTGGCATTGGAGTTTATTTTTTATACTTCTTATATCTATTTATGTGATCTATTGTTAAGATTTTCTGACCGATTTATTTTTCATGAATAATTGTAGTAAGATGAGCTCCAGGTTTTCAGGGAAGTCCGAGCGAGTGTTATGTTGTTACGGACTGTCGTCCTTATTACTCACGTCACGCCAGCAACATATCTATGAGCGACAGTTCTACAGGCTTGCAGTGGATACACAGACAGAAGGACTGCAAGTTCTTCAGGTGGGCAAATTGTACGTTCGATTTTTTGTTATCCCAACTAGACAACATTGCTCGAAGTTCGATGGTATCACAACTGGAGAACGCCGCTTATGTTTAGACTGTTTCCCATCCTAGCAAGGTTACTCAGGGTTATACGGTGTCCCAACTGGGCAACGCTCCTCGTGACATGCTTCTACATTCTAAAATGAATATTGTCATTTTTTTCTTGTAATTTTAAGATGTTATTTTTTTTCTTTTAAGTTTCATGATACTCACTATTAGGTGAGGTGTATATCATTTTTTGTACAGTTATGAAGGGGTTTTATTGCATCAAAAATATGTAATATGTGGACATTGCAGTTTTGTTGTGAATGGTACAACTGCTGCGTGCTAGATTATTCATTTATTTAGAAAAAAACTGCAAATTAGTTGTTCTGCAAACGCACAGACCAAAAAACTAAACAGTTTATTCAGAACAATGACAGAATGATCATTTATCCAGAATCAGTTGTTTTTGAAACACATAAATCAAACAGTTAGTCAGCTTATCAGGATAAACTGCTGATCAACATATTATCATGATAAGTTGCTTGTTTACAGCTGCCCCAAACAGACTCTTATTTGCCAGATAACGAACAAAATAAAAACTAATAAGCCTACACTAAATAAAGGGAAATGAGAAGAGAAGCTTAAATTTTCACATGACAACATGAAATTTCAGAACATTAATTATTCTTATTCTTATTATTATTTAGCTTTTACCTGTATATACCTACTTCATATATATTTATGCACCTGGCATTCAAACTTTACTTTTTACATTTAAATCATCAAAATCTTTCATATCATATTAAAAGATCTCAATTTTTAATTTTTAAAAAGTAATATACATACATATATATATATATACATACATATAAATATATATATATATATATACATACATATA